TCTGAGAGACATCGCCGCAGTCATCACAACTGAGAGAACTTGGTGTCAAGGTGTGGTTAAACCTGAAACACTACACTGGTGTTGCCACACCCTCCCTCCTTCCCTGACCAAAAGAAATAAAGGGCTCTGCTAGGAGGACAACTGGCAAGATAAAGATGTACAAGGGAACTGCCAATAAGTGAGCAGGCCAGTGTTAGAGAGTGGAAGTGCTGAGGCCTTTGCTCAAGAGGCATTGGCATGAGGAGGCTTAGTAGGGGTGCAGGTAAGAGCTCTTTAACTCTCTTTCTGTCTAGACTGAAGGCAGTAGGGATGGCAGTCACGGCAGTGGCATGCTCCTCTTGCAGGATGTGGGAGATGTGGGAGATCAGGGAGACTTCCAGTGCAGCCGGCTGTAGCTCCTGATAGACTGTGTTAGGGAACTGGAATGGAGTTGAGCTGGATGCACTCAGGATCATCCAGGGTGTAGAAAATATTATTGGTAGGAGGTACAGTGAAGTGGTCACTCCTAAGGTGCAGGCTGCAGGTAGCTGGGTGACAACCATAAATAGGTAAAAAGAGGGAAGGCAGATATTGAAGGGAATGGCCACAGGAATCCTACACTAACAGATATATTGCTTTGGATACTTTTTTTTTTGGAGGGGGCGATGGGTGATGACGACCTTTCATGGGCTAGCAACAGCAGTTGGGTCAGTGGCACTGTGACCGGCTCTAAGGCTCAGGAGGGAAAGGGTGCAGTCAGACAGAGCAATACTGACAGGAGACATAGGTGAGGGGGACAGACAGAAGATTGTGGCTGCAGAAGAGACACCAGGATGGTGTGTTGCCTCCCGGGTGCCAGGGTCAAGGATGTCTCTGAGCAGTTGCAGAACATTCTGAAGGGGGAGGGTGAACAGCTAGAGGTGATTGTGCACATCGGTACAAATGACATTAGGTAGACAAAGGGATGGGGTCCTGCGAAATGAGTATAGGGAGTTAGGTAAGTTGTTAAAAAGTAGGACCTCAAAAGTAGTGATCTCCAGATTACTCCCAGTGCCATGTGCCAGCGAGGATAGAAATAGAAAGATAGGCCAGATGAATGCATGGCAAAGGAGCTGGTGTAGGGGACAGAGTTTTCAGTTCTTGGGTCATTAGGATCTCTTCTGGGGTAGAAGTGACCTGTACAAGAGAGATGCGTTGCACTTGAACCAGAGGGGATCCAATATCCTTGCAGTGAGATCTGCTTGTTACCTGGGAGGGTTTAAACTAGCTTGGCAGGGCGGTGGGACTCTGAATAAGATAGCGGCCATTGAAAAGTTGGAGAAAAAACATTAACCATCGAAAGCAAGTTTACTATTCAGGATAGCCAGGGAGGCAGTAAAGGGAGGGAAAAGACTTATGATTTAAAGTGCATTTATTTCAATGCACGAGGCCTGACTAGTGGTGTGCCACAGGGGTCGGTGCTGGGACCTTTGTTATTTGTTATTCACATAAACGATCTGGATGTGAAGGTACAAGGCATGATTAGTAAGCTTGTGGATAATACAAATTAGGAGGTATCATTGATAGCGAAGAAGGTTATCAAAAATTACAGAGGGATCTTGATCAGATGGGGAAATGTGCTAAGGATTGGCAAATGCAATTCAATACAGTTAAGTGTGAGGTGTTGCATTTTGTAAAGTCAAACCATTTACTGTGCAAGTCCTATCTTGGTAAGGTCCTGTGGAGTGTTGTGGAACAGAGGGACTTGGAGTACAAGTGCATAGTTCGTTGAAAGCGGCATCACAGGTAGAAAGGATGGCGAAGGCAGCATTTGGCATGCTGGCCTTCATCAGTTGAGGCACTGAGTTTAGGAGTTAGGATGTTATGTTACAGTAGTACAAGTTAATGGTGAGTCTGCATTTGGAGTATCACGTACAGTTTTGGTCACCCTGTCATGGGGAAGACATAGTTAAACCGGAAAGTATACAAAGAAGATTTACAAGGATGTTGCCAGGACTAGTAGGCCTGAGTTATAGCGCGAGGTTGGCCAGGATAGGACTTCATTCCTTGGAACGTAAGAGAATGAGGGCTGACCTTTTTGAGGTGTATAAAATAGTGAGGGGTATAGATAGGATGAATACATATAGCTTTTTCCCCAGGGATAGGGAATTGAAAACTAGAGGGCATAGGTTTAAGGTGAGAAGGAGAAGATTTGAGGAGGACCAGAGGGGCAACTTCTTCACGCAGAGAGTGGTGCGTATATGGAATGGGCTGCCAGAGAAAGTGGTTGAGGCAGGTATAATAGCAGCATTTAAAAAACATTTGGATTGGCACATGGATGGGAAGAGTTTAGAGGGATGTGGATCAAATGCAGACAATTGGAACTAGCTGAGTGGGCACCATGGTCAGCATGGAACGGTTTGGGCCGAAGGGCCCGTTTCCATGCTGTATTACTCAATGACTCTAACGTGCAGGTTAGGTGGCCATGTTAAGCTGCCCAAAGTGTCCAGGGATGTGCAGGCCAAATGGATTAGCCATGGGAAATACAGGAATAGGTCGGGGTTCCATACTGCAGAGATTCTACGATATTCAGTGGCAGAGAAGAGTGCTCTTTTAGCACTTCGGATTGTGCTGGCAGAATCTATTAATGAGATTACATCAGGTCACTTCAAAAATCTTAACACAATCAGGTGGAGGCAACATGGTTATAAAAAGGAAAATTAAGCTGACTAATTTATTAGAGTTCTTTGAGGAAGTAAAGATTATAAGGGGAAAGCAGTGAATTTTCTATACTTAAGATTTCCAGAAGATATTTGGTAAGGTGCCAGAAATTTAATACGTAAGCAAGAGCATAGATAGAGGATTGGTCAGCTCATATGGAGCAGTGATAGGCATAAATGGGTCATTTTTCGGTTGGCAAGATGTGACAAGTGGTGTGCTACAGGGTTGAATGTCAGGGTGTTGCCCTCAATTTCTTCAGAATCATATCAGTGACTTGGACAAAGAGAGTGGATGTATGGTTAACATAACAAGGTGTACAGCTGGATAAAAACAGCAGGCCAGGCAGCATTAAAGGAGCAGGAAAGTTGACGTTTCGGGTCTGGATCCTTCTTCAGAAATGAGGTAGGGGAAGGGGGCTCTGAAATAAAGAGAGAGGGGGAGGCGATGATGGAAGGTGGATAAAAGGAGCAGATAGGTGGAGAGAAGACGGACAGGTCGAGAAGGCAGGGATGAAGCCAGTAAAAGGTGAGTGTAGGCAGGGAATTGGAATGCAGGTTGGTGGGTGAGGGAGGGAGGGGCAGGTAGGTGGGAGGGAAGACAGACAGGTCAAGGAGGCAGGGACGAACTGGGCTGCTCTTGGGATGAGGTCAGGGGTGGGGAGATTTTGAAGTCCACATTGAGACCATTGGGCAGCAGGGTTCCCAAGTGGAATATGAGGTGCTGTTCCTCCAGCCTTCGGGTGGCATCTTTGTGGCACTGGAGGCAGCCCAGGATGGACATGTTGTCCAAGGAGTGGGACGGGGAGTTGAAGTGGTTTGCGACTGGGAGGTCGTTTGTCATGAACCGAGCGTAGGTGCTCCACAAAGCAGTCTCCAAGCCTCCACTTGGTTTCCCCGATGTAGAGGAGGCCACATCAGGAACAGTGGATATAATATACCACATTAGCAGTTGTGCAGGTGAACACCTGTTTAATGTGGAAGGTTTTTTTGGGGTATACCATCTCTCTGTGGATGTATGGTTGTTAGATTTGCAGATGATACAAAAGGAAGGTAGGAAAGTAAATTGCAAAAAGAACAGAGTCTGCAAGGGATATATAAATATGTTTAGTGAGTGTAGGTAAATTTGGCAGTGGATTAGAATGTGGAAAAATGTGAACTTGACAGGAATGGTGAAAAAGCATATTATTTAAATGGAAAGAGATTGCAGCAATCCGACATTCAGAGACATTTGAATGTCCTGGTACATGAATTATAAGAAGTTAAATATACGTTGATAGAACAAGCGATTAGAAAAACAATGGAAAGTTGTTGTTTAATGTGAATGGAATGGAACATACAAGGAGCATTTTGCTACAATTGTACAGGACATTGGGGAGGCCATACCTAGTGTATGGTGTATAGTTTTGATCTCATTTAAGAGGGGATGTAAATTTGTTAGAGATTTGAATCTTCCCTGACCTATCGACTGACACCTAAGATGAGGGGATCACCTTACAAGATAAACTTGGACAAGCTGAGCCCCCTTTCCATCAGAGTTTAAAAGAAAGTGAGGCAAACTTATTGAGACATACAAGATCCGAGTTAACTTGTCAAGGAGCATACTGACAGGATATTTGGCCATGTTGGAGAAATTAAAACTACGAGATACAGATTAAAAATCATGAGTCTCCCACTTAGTCCCTGGAACTCTTCCCCAGAGAACAATGGGGTTGGGTCACTGAATACTTTTAAATCACCCGAAGATACAGCCCTAACCAACATTATTGTGGAGTTCAGGCCACAATCAAATCAATCATCACCTTACTGAATGCCAGAGGCCATACAAGGCCTTCTTGTACTCAATTCTTACGCTCAAAAGTATGTAAAATGTTCAGTCTCACCTGTTTTGAATATTTCAACCAGACTTGCAACCCAATTTCCATCTTCTTGAACCACTTCCTATACCAATCAAGAAGCCTGCTTTTATAATAAAAAAGTCATCTCTGCAAATGATTCCACACAATGCGCAGCATTTAATACTCTATATGATTAATGATGTTACCTGCCGGACTTGATTATTTGGCATTTAGACACAACTGCTAGCACATCTGAATAATGAGCCCAGATAAACATATGTCAAGATAAAACGATTAACAACATCAACTTTCACTACTTTTTCCCCCAGAATGCCATGGAACTTACTGGAAATGTTTAGTGCATCAAAGCAACTTCCATTCTCAATAGCAACAGACCTCACTATGTTGTCCCATGACTTGTTTTTTCATTTATAGTTCTACAGCCATTAATCTCTCTATACATGGTAAGAAAATCTCCAATGCCCACCTCTGTACGTGCTGAATTTTGTGCAGCAGGAGCTTCAAGAGCTGTTGATTCTGTCAATGCTGCTGTTGAGCCTTCTCTCAGTCGCTTCATCGAAACATGTCTTTTAATATTTGGTACTGAATACATCTGTTCTTCTAATTCTGGAGAGCCTACATCTGACGCAAATAAAGCAAAGATTGATCTCTGTAAACAACTTCAAAAATTAGAAGTGCTTCATCAATACGAAGAGACCATTAAACTGGTAGTATGCTTACAAAAGTAAGTTAACAAACATCTACTGCAAATGTCATAGCATATTTGCACTCAACATTGCTTAAAGCTGGTGCAAGTCAGTCCAAGAAAACAGAACTCTCAGATTTCAAATATTAGCTATATTTTTCTTTCCACAAGAGCTGCCTAGTGTGTATTTCTAGCCTTTTCTGCTTTTATTTCAGCCACTCTAGGGACAGAATTCATCTGTTTAAGAACATATGACTGGTCAGGTATCTCAAACAGATCTACGATTGACCTCTAAGTGAATCTAACTATTATGACACACGATTTAAAAAAAAACAGATTTTAACATTTAAAGCTGGTTCATAACCTTTTATTACAAACTCACCTCTCCCATCAGACTCCATTAAAATAATACTGTCCACTGGAACCCTTTGAACATCAGCTGGATATTCTTTTCTGAAAGTACATAAAAGTGATTTTAATGTAAAAATTGGTGTTCACACCAAATAGATTTTGCAGTCCACTGCACAACCTATACAGCCATAACAACATTTATTTAATTTAGTTCACTTGTCAACAAAACAGCACTCCTGCATCCACCATCCACAATATCCAGACCACCCACAGCATTAAAGCCAGACACAACTTACTGTCTATTCACATTCAGTTAGAAACGTCACTGCTAATACAAAACAGGTACTGTTTTAAGAACATCAAACCCACCATTACTTTTGTCAACCTGAAAGTTTCTTGGAATTCTGCTGAGCCCATTTCACCATTCAACACAATCATGGCTGATCCTCTGTCTCAATATCATATTCCTGCACTTGGTCTTTACTTTGTCATCTTTAGCCTCTCAAAATCTCAAAATTAAAGGATATTCAGTGACTTGGTCTCCACAGCTTTCTGTGATAAATATTTCCACAGGTTCACCTTCAGTGAAGAAATTTCTTCTCATTAGTACGAAATGGCCTAGCCCATATCTCAAGACCATGACCCCTTGTTCTGACCAATCTGACCAGAAAAAAAAAAAAAAAAAATAATCAGCCTTGCATCCATTCTGTCCAGCCATGTCAGAAAATAACATGTTCCAATGAGATCCCCTCTCATTCTTCTAAAATCCAGTAAATATAGGCACAGTTGACCCAATTTCTCCTCAAGAATGAGTCTGGTGAATTGTCACTGCACTACCTCTGTGGCAAGTAAGGAGGCCAAAACTGCAAGCAATACCCCAGGTGTGGGCTCACCAAGGCCCTGTTTAGTTCCAATGACTTTTTTGCCTCTGTTCTCAAACTCTCTTGCAAAGGTGGCCAACATACTATTTGCTTTCTTAACTGCTTGCTGCACCTGCAAGTAATTATGCATAAAACAATTTTAAATGACATAAGATATAAACATGAGCACATGCAATTAATTTCTGAAGAAAAATGCATAATTAAGATTTAACATGAAGCCTCACATGATAGTGAGCTGCTTTTTGAATGAAGCCCTAAAGAATGGGACCTATTATTCAGCAATAACAGGCCTGACGCATCACTTTTAGGCAAAAAGTGCATTACGCGAAATTAAGCAAAGCACATTGACAATTATCCACTTAAAAGCTTGAATTTGATGCAACACTAGCAGGTTAAAATGCACGACGAAAATTTTCAACAATGGCTTCTAGTTTAATTTTAGTTGAGCTTCAGTGAAAATGCCATGCTATATTTTCATTATACAAGTGAAGATAAGGGGTCCTGTGATGCAGGGGTAGTGATGCTACCTCTGGTTCATAAAGGCCTGATTTCAAACACAACCTGAAAATATATCTGAACAGATTGATGATGAATATTTACAAGTGACAATAAGAGGTTTCATGGCAGTGGTAATGTCCTTACATCTTGGTCAGAAGATCCAGGTTCAGCTCCTACCTGTCCTGTCAGGTCAGTCATAACATGCCCAAACAGGTTGATTAAAATTAGAGAAAATATTGCTACCTTGAAAATGGTAACTTCCCTTCTGTTTAGAGGGCAATGTTGGAGCTGTATAAAATTTTAGTTATGTCACAGCTGTAGTACAAGTGAGTAGTACTATAGGAAGGATAAGATTGCACTAGAGGGAGCACAAAATATTCACCAAGATGTTGCCGGAGTTAGAGCATTTTAGCTATTAAGAGGGGCTGGATGGATGTGGGTTATTTTCTATAAATCAGAGACGGCTGAAGTGGGACCTGATCATGGTGTACAAGATTATGAGATGCATGGGCAGGGGTGGATATAAAATAGCTGTACCCTTTAGCTGAACGGTCAATTTTAAGATGAAAGGCAGAGGTTGAGGGGATTGGAGGAAAAATATTTTCACCTAAAGGGCAGTGGGAGTCTGGAATGTACTGTCTGGGAGGGTAGAACAGGCAGGAGACCACACCACCTTTATGTAGTACTTTGATGAGCCCTTGAAACGTAATAAGATTCAAGGCTATGAGCCAATGCTAGAAAGTGAGATTTAAATGTAGATATATTGGCACAGACTTAATGGGTTGAAAGGATTCCTCTGTGGTGTACGACCATATGAGAAAGCATTAGAAAAAGCTATTCAGAATCGTCACATATCTTGGTGCACAAACAAATATGCAGCTCAGGTTGTACCCTTCCTCGCCGAACCGGAGTGTTGGATTGCAGACGTTTCGTCACCCTGCTAAGTAACATCATCAGTGCATCCCTGGTGAAGCGTTGGTGCTGTCCCACTTGTTATTTATATGCCTCGGTTTGCTGGGGAGCATTTGGTTTCATTCTTTTGGGTACCAAATGCTTTTTGAAGATTTTGTAACAATTCTTTCACAGCAGTGTAATTAACTGCAAGTTACTTTTTTATAATTTGGAAATTAAGATTACATTTACAATGAAACAAAATTGAAGTAGATACTAGGACTCAAGGTTGGTGCGGAGATGTTGAAGTAGTCAACTTTGTACAGGTGCAGCCAGTATATGGTGGACTAATGATTAATTCTTGAAACATTGCAATGGATCTTCCAAATCATGCAAACTCAGCTCTAAATCAATCTGAAACTGCTTAGTCACTGTTCACGGTGAAACACTGTTTCTGAAGAATTGTTTCAATTTATGACACCTAGATTCTATAATAGAATAAAACTCTCATCTACAGCTTTGGAGCAGATATGAATCTTGCTTGCACAAATTTGTTAGTGAATAGCAGAACAGCAAAATTAAATTGAAGCAACTTCAAATTTGCTCATACTAAGCACAGCATGCAAGATCAAAATTTTAAAATGGTTGGAACAGTACAAATCAGAATTACAGCAAGTACATGTGCATTACTTTTGCAATGTTTATTATGCAATACTAGTTAGGCAAAGACGATTAGATTGGCAAGGTCATTCAGAACACGTGGTGGGAAATGGAAAAATACCATTTTGAAAGACAAATGCTAACATGAGAGCAGCTGAAACAGCACACTTGCATGTTTTGACTGTACACATTTTAAATGAAATCCCAAGCAAATGGCAAGCACAAAATGCATTTACACTAATCAAGCCACTTAAAGTGCGCAATTCCAAACACAGCTGTCATGTGAACACAT